GAGAGAGAGAGAGAGAGAGAGAGAGAGAGAGAGAGAGAGAGAGAGAGAGAGAGAGAGAGAGAGAGAGAGAGAGAGAGAGAGAGAGAAAAAAAAAAATGAGGGGTCGCCATTTGGATGGGGAGGAGCAGAGAAACACCAGACAGATGGAGGAAGTAAAAGGACAATGGATGAGTAGAGAACAAGCGATGAAACCTCATAAATGGGGGGGGGGGGGGTCGAGTTATCTCTCCCGCGCACGAAGCGTTGAAGATCGGCGCGTTGACCTCTGCGGGCATTGCCGCCGACGCAGGTCGGGGAGCTGCCCGCGCATGCAACTTCCCACCGACTGTCGATGACGGTCACGTGGCCTGAGGGCAAAGCAAAAGCAACTGATGACCTGAGAGGCCGATGAGCGCACCAACGAGCCTATCCGCATCTGCCAACACCCTGGGGGACAACGCCCGCACTATGAGTCGGGGTGCACCCTAGGGACGCGCGCGCCTTAAGAGCAGCGCACAGTGAGGTGAGAGGTAGAGCTACGCAGGAATGGCCACCGGCCAGGCCTGCACCATCGCGCACAAAGGGGGCCCCAGACGTACAGACGAAGATCGCGGGCTTGAACTGATCGGGGGCGTGATCCGCAATGACTGCGCTGCTCCGGGAGTGGTCGATGGCCTGAACCCCCTGAATCACAAACCGCATTGCCGCAGCGAGCTTCCTGCAACTGATGGGCCACTTTGTGAAACCGCTGGAAGTGTCTCTGAAGTTATTGGCGAAGTCCTCGTTGGCAAAATGCACAAAAGCGTACCCCTTGCTCGTGGGTCTAGAAGTCGATTGGCAAGTAAACAAAGTTGTGCGCTCCTTCGACACATATATATATATATATATAGCAGACCACCCTAACTCTGGAGCGGCGCGACCAGGAGGCAAACTCCGTGTCGAACATGGAGCCGCCGTTGAGGTCGACCGTAGCAAAAACGATTGCCAGCCCAAACCGGCACGCTGCCGCCTGCAGGGATCCGCGTCGTTCCGCGGTCCTCTCCGCGCCATATGCGGTTCATCCTGATTTGGTGTAATCTCTGGCGATCGCTGCTCGCTCTGCGTCGAGGTGCAGGCACTCCTGGAACGCGCGGCAGGTGCAGGCTAGCGGCTGGCGGCGCCAATGGCGCGGAGCTGCCTCGCCCCCCCCGCGTCGGCGTCTTGGTGGCCCCGGACCGAAACATGTCGAGGTACTTCCTGCCGCGGTGCGACAGCGATCTGTGCCACCTGGCCTAGACGGCAGCGCTTGAGGCGTCCACGTCGACGCGGGCCACTCCAGCGGCGTCAAGCCTCGTGCTGTGTACGCTGTCAAGACAACGTACCCGTGCCACTGCGCGCAGGACGTGCGCTGCCGAAGGTGATGATGTCCGAAATGACCTGTCGTGACGGCGAATGCCGCGAGTTACTTGGATAATGTGATAAGAGTCGTTGCGGCCCACGAACACCTGAAGGCCCCACTCGGGCTCGAACCGGCAAATGGTCAACCCCAGAAGCTTGACATGTTCGGCGGCTGCTCGGTGTACAGAAAGGCGCCAGGCCAAGGAGGATGGACTGGCCACAATGTTGACCGCAAGGGCGGCTGGCGAGAGCAGCGGGCGCAGCATGATGCGCTGAGCCACCATCGTCCATGGCACCACCACGTTTACTTCGAACGTAAGATTGCGCGGAACAGCTGGCCAGGCACTGTGCGGGGAACAGGTGCCACCAGCGGGGCCGCCCAACTCCACAGTGGGCGAATGCACGACACGCTGCGCCGCTCGTGCACATCCACGGCCCCTGGGAGCGAGGCGAAAACCGCAAGGGCAGCGAGCAATTTGTCCCACCCTCCCCTGGGAAAAATGGGTTTGGACGAGTCTGCCGGCACCGCCGTGAGGCCTAAGTGCTCCACCCGGTGCTTGCCCTGAGCATCCCACTCCTGGCGTTTGGCGGCGTTCGCCACGAAGCCGACGTCGTTGTCGAAGGCTTGCGTGGCTGCGAGGCCGGCCTGCAGGTCTTCGGCGGCGCGTTCGTCCTTGGCGTCCAAGCTTCTGTCGTCCGCGAACGCCCAGCCCAAGGCGGACTCGGGGCGCCACGGCACGAGGGCCGCTGTCATGGCCCCCAGGGCGCAGCTGTCGCCCTGTGGCAGGGCTTTGGCGGGCCAGATGGCCTCTGCGAATTAGTCAGAGACGCAGCAGACGCGAGGCCAGCCCGTACGCTCCTTCGAAACCTTCCCCGTCAATCGCATTGATCAACTCAACACGTGTGACACCAGAGGGCATATTTCTCACGTGGTGTACTGCTCGCTATCACTTTGTAAGTGTTGGATATGAGGGTCAGGCCCCCGCCCTGGAGAGGAAAAGGAGCGACCAAACGTGCCTGTGTTTTTTGGGCAGCCAGGAAGGAACTAACACCGCAGCATTGCAATCCATGGGTGTAAAGCTTCCAGCCTTGCTGCTCACAGGCGTTCGTGCGCTGGGAGAGGCCGATGCCTGACCACTCTGCTTGCCAGCTGGCGGACTCTCGCCGAACTTACCTGTAAGATCAGCGTGGACATGCGGAACATGAGACAACTGCTAGTGGTCGATCGAGCAACAGCTCAGTGTTTCATCCTCGGGCTCCTCGTGTACGACGGCCGGGTCCGCCCGAATACTGAGAATGATACTGCGACTGGCGTCGCTGCGCGTCTTGGTGTGTTCGTTCCCCGAACTACCAGAACCATCCTCGCTTAAATTACCACGGATGGGAGGGCATGACTGAACTCGGCGCATGCCACAGCCAGAGACTGCAAATGGCTCTTCAATGGAAGTCTCGACCTCAATGACTGTGTTCTTGATAATCACGTTAACGAGCGCCATGACCAATGCGGGAGACTGCGTGCGTTCGAACACCAATCACCAGATTATCGGGCAAGACAGCGTTCGACCTGTTGCCCACCTTGAGTCAAAATGGGTGCGGACCTCTTGGGCAGCCTTGGACGCTTTAAAAAGCGGAAGTGCTTTAAACGTACGCTTTCCTTAAGATGTGGGGCAATTATGGCCTCCTGGCGCCTTCTCGGGGAGCATCTTGAATCCTTCTTGGGGCGTTTGGGGGCATTTCGAGGTCTCCTCGGCTATATTAAAGCCATGATGGCGCGTCTTGGACCCTATTGCGCCGCTCTTGTCGCTGAATCGGGCTCCTCGTAGCTGTTTTGGGCAGCTGGAGGAAGGCCTGGGAAGCCGCCGACGGGGTGGTGCTCAAAGAGGGGAAGAGATCCGGGTGGGTGTCCCAGCCAGGGGGCCCGGGGCCTCAATACTCCAGCAGATGGTATGTATATATATATATATATAATATATATATACACATATATATATTATATATAATATATATATATATATATGTATATATATATGTGTGTTTGCATATATATATATATATATATATATACACACTGGAACCATCGCGCGCGCTTCGCGCGCGCTCAAGTTCTAGCTAGGCTGGATGGTCGAACTCCTTAGGCTTTCTCTTGGGCTTCCGGGAGCCCAAGGCTGGACACGTTCGTTCGGCCCCCGCCTGGACCGCTGGACTCTTGGGGGCCTCTTTCCGGCCTCCTGGATGCTGCTTGAGGCCGCTTGGGGGCCTCTTGGGGGCCTCTTGGGCTCTATTGGGGGCCTCTTGGGGCCTCCTCGGAGCATCCTGGACTGCTTGAAGTCGTCATGGGACCTTGTTGGCATGTCTTCGGGGGCCTCTTAGGACGAATTTTGAAGCCTTTTGGGTGCCGTCTTGGGACCTCTTTTGGGCTTCTTGGGGGCCTCTTGGGGCCTCTTGGGGGCCTTTTGGGGCTTCCTTGGGGCCTCTTGGGGCCTCTTGGGGGGCATCTTGGGGTGGAGAGCTTGATTCGTCAGTTCGCGTTCCCTCTCTTGGGCCCCTCTTGGGGCCTTCTTGGGACCCTCTTGCGCCGTCTTGGGTGGCTCTGGGGCCGTCTCGGGGCTTTCTTGGGGCGTCTTGGGGGCCTCTTGGAGGCCGCTTTGTGCCTCTTGGGGGCCTCTTCCCGGGGGCCTCTTGGGGCGGAGAGCTTGATTTTTGAATCGCTTTCCCTCTCTTGGGCCCCTTGGGGCCTTCTTGGGACCCTCCTGCGCCGTCTTGGGCCGCTCTGGGGCCGTTTCGGGGCTCTCTTGGGTCGTCTTGGGCCCTCTTGGGAGCCTCTTGCGTCGTCTGGGAGCGGTTTTGGGAGCCTCGTGGGCGGTGCTTTAGCGCCGGAAAAACGAAACAGCGAGAATGCAAAACAGATAGGAAAACACATGAAAATCAATGATTTTGCCTTCTCGGGGCGCTCTTGGGCGGTCTCCTAAAGGCCTCTTGGGGCATTTGGGGGGCCTCCAGGGCAGTTTAAAACGCATCGTGCGGCCTCTTGGGGGCCTCGTGGGGCCTCTTAGCAGCTTCATGGGGGCCTCTTGGGGCCTCTTGGGGCGGAGAGCTTGATTTGTCAGTTCGCGTTCCCTCTCTCGGGCCCCTCTTGGGGCCTCCTTGGGACCCTCTTGCGCCGTCTTGGGCGACTCTGGGGCCGTCTTGGGGGGTTCTTGGGCCGTCTGGGAGCGGTTTGGGGAGTCCCTTGGGCGGTGCTTTAGCGCCGGAAACACGAAACAGCGAGAATGCAAACAAAAACATTGAACAAAACGATGACAATCAACGATTTTGCCTTCTCGGGGCGTCTTGGCGGCATCCAGGGCAGTTTAAAACGCATCGTGCGTCGCCAGAGAGCCCTGGACGGCGTCTTGGGGGTGCCTCGAGACCGTCTGGGGCCGCTGGGATTGCTGTCTCAGAGCTCCCCAGGGCGATTTCAGGCGCCCAAAGGCGGGCTGGCCCTGGGGCCCACATTTGTGGTCGAGGTTCCGGCCCTGGGCCCCCGGGCCCGGTGCGCCGTTATATGTATATAAAGACTGGGGCGGCTTTCTGGCCCGCCCCAGAAAAGTATGTTGAATGTTCCAAGGGCCCTTTCTTCTGATTCCTCTCCCTCCCCCTCCTGCAGCGGCATGCTTCAACTTCATCTGAAACAAACCCTCGTTGTTCATGGCTTGCACGGTCTGCGCGGCAACATCAGGGGTCTCGTATTCCACCACCACCTGCCGACTGCCTGCAGGGGCTGGCCAATCGGCAACGGCATGGCGGGGGACGGGAAGCAATCACGGTAAGGAGGTCATTGGGGAAGAGGCCCGACGGGACCACACCAATGTGTCAAAGGTGGTCCATTCTCCACTATCACTGCCACTATCACCGCCACTACCAATGCAACAATCAATACCATTGCCATTGCAACCACCGCCACGCGGGGATGCCTCAGCACCCTGACCGCTCTGGGCTACTTCGACACCCCCACTGGCTGCTTTGACATCACAAAAGGGGCCCAAAAGCAGCAAGTCTTCTTTGCCGCGGTCGACTTTGGCCCCATCGTCATTCGTCGCGGTTGTCTTCGCAGCGGTCGCCTTCGCCCGTTCGTCAGGATCCCACCCGCCCGACCTGTCCCTTCTAAACCTGCCCGCCAAACCCGCCCGCCTGGGTCTGCCCGTTCGTTTGCTCTCAACCCCGCCGCCGGCATTGATGTTCCGCCCGCCCGACCCGCGATTAGAGTCCGCCCGCCCGACCCTCCGGCTATGATCCGCACAGTAGCTTGTTTTCATGCACGCCCGCCCGCCCGTTTTAATGTCCCGCCCGCCAGACCCGCTGGCGAAGACGACCGCGGCGAAGACGACCCTGGTGAAGACGACCGCCAGCGAAGACAACCGCCGGCGCAGATGACCGGCGGAGAAGACGACTCGTGCCCCCCAAAATGCCTCCAGGTTGGCCCCACATGGCGAAAGGCTCCGAAGATGTCCTCAAGAGTCCAAAACGACCGCAGATGACCCCACGATGCCTCTAGGATGGCCGCTCAGGGCTAAGAGGACGCCCCCCACAGAGTAAAACACTTTCCCACCCTACAGAATGTTCAAAATGTGTTTGCCCATCCCACGTTCTGCTCCCAAGATGCCTGAAGACCGCTTCCAGACGGTCCCGGAGCCGCCAACGCTGCTCATGACGATCCCGAGAGGTCCAAGATGTTGACAATATCGCCCAGGATGGCCAACAAATGCTCCGAATAGGCTCCCAAGATGGTTCCCATAGGCACCAAAATGACTCCAAAGCGCCCTGGCGGTGGACCAAGAGGCCCCAAGATGCCTCCAAGAGGCCCCAAAAGGCCCCCAGACGGCGCCAGCATAGTCAGCCACGAGACGGGTGAAGACTAGGGTTGGCGGCAGATGACGCCATACCTCAAATATATCAATGGGTGCGGATGCTCAGGCGCCCAAGCTCAAATTGATCACCTTCTCCTCCAACCCCTGGCTTCGATGCAGTAAGGCACTCTGCGCATCCCAGGAGGAGGACACGAGGACGAGAGGGGGGAAAACGAGGACGTGGAGGATGTGGAGGATGGGTTACGACGGGGACGAGCAAGGACGGGAGACGCAGTCCTGCTCGTGCATCTTGTGCACTGGGCGCTCGTGCCAGAAACCCTCGCCGCTGCATGAAAACCCCAACCGGGCAACTCGGCAGCCTACTGCCACTACGTCCGCCGTCTACATCCCTGCTCTCTCGTCCCGATGTGTGATGTCAAATTCGGGTCGGGCGAAAGGGGGGGATAGCAAAGGGGGGGTTTGAGAATCAGCTCACGTAGCTGATTTTCCCGGCGCCTCCCGGCGCCCAGAGGCGGCTATGTATCGAGGAATGGGCCCCTCGGTGAGGCCGAAACCAGCTGCATGCAGCAAATTTCGTAACCCCCCCTTTCCCAATCCCCCCCTTTCGCCCGGCCCGACAAATACACATGGCGCATCCTGCGTGGGTGGTGCACGTGGCAGACTTGGCGCACGTGGAGCGCTCCTCGCACCCGGCTTTCCCAGGCGCGCCTGGCACGCTTGGGCCTCCGGGGCCCCGCGGCGCACCTGGTGGACGCGGCGCGCGTGGCACGCCTGGCGGACCTCGCCGGCGTCGCGCACGTGACGTCTGCATTTTGATCCCAGTTGCTGTCCATCCAACGTCGATCGCTGCCTACGCTGGAACATGGGCGTTGCTGATGTGAAGGGGGGTGGGAAGGGAGCGAAACGATTTCTGGCTTGCGGGTCGCCTGCCCCGTCCCCCAGCTCTCCTGGCAGGGGTCCCTATTGGGTCCAAGATGACCCCCGGGTGGTTTTCGATGCGTCAAGATGGCCTCCAATATGGCACAATGTAATCCTAGATGATGATCGCCTAGCCCAAACGACTCCCAGGCGGCTCGAAGCTCCCTTGAATACGTTGAAAGAGCCTCAAACAGCAACTCAGCATGGCCCCCAAATATGGCTTGACAATATGTGATGTGTCTCCTCGCGCGTTCGCTCCCGACGGGCTCCTGAGGCCTCAATGTGGCTCCAGTCTACAAGGCCCGAGAGGGCTCAAAGATGAACCTCAAGACGATGTCGCCAGGAACGCCCCAAAGCGTTCCGACGGAGAACAAAAAAAAACAACTTTGATGTTTCCCTCTGCGTTTTGTTATGCACATGCCGTGTTTTAGCATCGCGGTGATGGCTGCCATTGAGCAGACCCCTTCCAAAATTCGATGACTCCGCGCGGGCCTGGCGGGCGGTGATTCGCGAGCTCCTGAACGGAGAGGCGGGTTCCCCACCTTCTATAAAATGACTGATGTAAACTGGCCCCGGAGTATGGCAATCAAGTGCAGCTGTCGCTCCGTATGTTTTCAAATGTCCGGCGGTTCCCTCTAGTTTGTCGGGGGCCCCGTCCAACTCCCATTGCGTTGCGCGCTCAAGCATTGGTTTCGGTTGCAACGGTTGAAACATCCTCAAATACCAGCCTGATTCTCGACAGTTCCCAACTGTGCTTCCGGCCCCCCCCCCGCGGTCCAATTCGATGTCAGATGCGCTTCTTCGCGGCACTTCCTTCAAACATATGTCTTGTTGCGTGGGGCGTACTCGGGAATATCGAAGCCGTGACAATTGCGCACTGTTCCTGGAGCTCAGCAGGACCCTGCACCACTTTGCGCTTACAGAGACGCGCAACATAGACGCGCATCATCGCCCTTACCATCGCCACTTCCGCATCCATTTTGGCTCCGACGACGCATGCGCCACTAAGGGTCATTCGGGGCCATATACATGATCTTATAAACAAGCCGCCGGCGCGACATCGGCGTCTCCGATGATTTCGCATTTCCCAGCGGAGGGCCACAACGTCGACGACAGACGCCTTCCCCATATCTGATTCAGACAAAAGGAAGTTCAGTTTTACGTTTACGTCTGTGCGTTCTGGTCGGCAAAGGTTCTGTTGAACAATGAGGCGGCGATGGTTGCCATCGGAGGAGCCCCCTTTGACAATTCTACGACTCCGAGTGGGCCAGCGGGCTGCGGCGCCGCAGGTTTTTGAAGGGGCGGTGGGCCTTCTACCTTTCAAACTTAGCGGCCGCAATCCGTTCCACTGCATGGCAGAGCATGCAATTCTCGCGCGGCACCTTCAACGGCGAGCATGTCCCACGGACTGCCGATTGGTTCCCGGACGTCTCTGGGGTATCCGCGCGATTCCCCTGGCGTTCCTTGATGCACCGCGCGCAGACGCAATGGTTTCGCTCAAGACATCCCAGCCAGCGTGCTGACGCTGTCAAAATCTGGGAAGTGTCGATCAAGTTTCAAGAGCCCCCCGCGATTATTCCTGCCCCGCTTCTTCGCGGAACCTACATCCGAAAATCTCCACCCGTGCGTCGGGCATCCTCGCAAACATCAGCATCCGCGACAACTGCGCTGCGTTTCTGGAAGTCGGCAGGGCCCCGCAGTCCTCCGCGCTGACGCATGCGCGCGCAGCTTCCCCCTTTTCATCGCCGCGCCCACATGAGTTCGGCTCCGGCGACAGAAGCGCCACTGACCCTCGCTCAAAAAAAAAAGCATGCGCCAACGCTCGAGCCAGATTGGCTACGAAATCCATCTGTCCGACGATTTCGCATGATCAGCGGCGGGTAAACTTCGCCGTCAGTTTCGCCGCGGCCCACCCGCGCTCTCCTCGTCGAACCTCGCCCGCTCGATCCCGGGCGTCTTGAAAATTGCGCCCGTCAGGTACGGCCCCCCTCCCACGCACTGACTCAGCAAATACGTCGCCTCCTGCGCCGGCACGGCCTGCCCCCCCTTCCCGAGGTCCGAAGAGGCGGTCCACCATTGCCTGCGCGATCTGCATGTGGGGGCCGCCTACCTCCACCTCTGCGCGTAGCTTGGCCTTCCACCGCTTCGTTGTACTCGTCGCAGCTGGCCTCGCTCGCCTGGACCGTCTCGCTCTTCGCGGGAATCAGCATGAAACCAGCGCCGCCCCCTCAAGCGCGCCCCCTCCTGGGGCCCGGCCATCATCTCGTCGCCGAAAAAATCGTTGCTGGCGCGCCCTGCTCCACCATTCCCGTCGGGCTTTTTCCTCGCGGTTCTCTTGGCCTTGCCCCTTGCCCCCCCCTCCTCTCCGCCGTCCACTTTTATCTTGTCCGCCTTGCCCTCGTTGGTCCTCGACCTCTGGCGGCGCTGAGACCCCGCCAAGATGCCCCGCGCCAGGAAGACGATGGACCTGGCGCCTTCGGCGGAGCCCGCCGCTGCTTCCGTCGCTCCCAGGCGCGAGCGGGAAGCCAGCGGTGCCTTTTTGATGCGAGCGGGCGCGGGCGGGAGCTCGAGCATATGCGCGACAGATTTCTCGCACTCGAAAAACGAGGTTCGACGGGGTCGCGCGGCCTGGGGGGATGATCAACTCTCCGCTTGCGCAAATCCTCCGCGCGCGCTGCGCCCATCTCGAAACCCGCCCCGCCGTCGCTCCGGCGACGCGCCGCGCGCCCCCCCCCCCCCCTCGATGGAAAACGGCAGTGGCGCCGAGGGCCCGACTCGCAATCGCCAGTATCCGCAATGCAGTTTGCGCTGCGCCCCGCGGACGATGCGACGATCAGTCTGGGGGGCTGCGAAGAGGGGTTCTTCCCGCGAGACGTGCCATCCACGACTTCGCTGCAGAAGCACTCCGTCGGCGGGGCATCGGGCGGCTCGGCCCCGTCGCCGTCGAGGTCGGGGGCGCAGGGCCACCCGCCCCCTGCGACGCAGAAGGAACAAGGGAAACTGCACCGCAGAGGCAGCAGCACGGAGTGCAGATCCCCCTCAAGGATCAGACCCGGCAGCCCACTTGGAACATCTTGCAGCGCCTGCCAGAGCTCCTCGCAATCGCCGCCAGCATTCCCCATCTCCCCCATGTCGGCCAGGAGTCGGCGGCGCCGCGGCGCAGTCGTCGCGACGACCAGCCGTCGTCGCCGAGCTTCGCCTGCGACGCGCGCCTGCCAATGGGCGCCCGGGCGCCGAACCGCGCGCTGAAAGAAACGGAGGCGCCCCGCCGCGAAGCTCCACCTTTGGCTTCGCGAGCTCCCAACATTGACGCACCCTGCCCGGCGCGGCTGCGCGGGCGCCGCCGCCCCCCCACTCAATAGGTCGCCCGACCAATAGAGACCGCAACGGGCTGATGAGGGTAGTCGCGGCCCGCTCGATCTGGCCGCCAGCGACCAGCAGCGCGCGCGGCGCCGGCGAGGCCGCCTCGCACGCGTAGCTGATGCGCTGGAGCCGCGCGCGCCTCAGGGGGGCCTCGCGGCGCTGCGTGGACCGCGCGTCGCACCGCCCCCTCTTCGCCGCCGCGGCCCCCGCCTTGACCTCGCCGCGAGCCGCCGCGTCGGAGGCGGCGGTCGGTCCAGGAAGCCTCGCGCCGCGAACGGCCGCGCCCGTCGACCCCTCTGGCGCGCAAGCCGCCCGCGCGGCCGCGATGGCAAGGCGCCGTCTCAGCGCCGGTGCGTCGCCGATGCTGCCCCTGTTGAGCCTGCCGCCTAGCTTGTCCATGTGGCGTCTGACAGCGCCCTGCATCCTGTTGGGCCTGCCCGCTATGTCCTTGGCCTTCGCTGCCGCGGGGATCGGCGTCAGCCGCGTGATGTCGCCCGCAAGCGCAGCCCCCCAAGATCGAACGTCTCGCCCCCGCGTAGCTCCACCTGCCCCTTCAGCTCGTCGAGCGCGTCGTCGACCGCCGCGGAGCCCCGCGGCGCGATGCCGCTGCCCGCAGCACCCCCCCCCCATCGGCGGCGAGAACTCAAACTTGCCGTCGGGCGCCGCGACGGCGGCGCTCGAGTCGCTCGGCAGCAGGACGAAGATCGGCTTGTCCGAGGCCTGTGGTCGGCCTCCAGCGCGACTGCACCGGCGGCTCCAAGCAGTCGCATTAAGCGCACCTGCCGCGCCCCAACTCTGTGGTGCCATCGAAAAATCACCATCGCGCAATTGCCAACGCCCCGACTGAAGGGCTAGCATCGCGGCCTCTCAACTGCGGCGCAGCAGGCTGCAGCGTAGCCATTCGGGGCATTCGCCAGGTAGTCGGCGTCGCCTCCAGCCGCCGCGCCACGCCTGGGGCAGGTGCTTGTTGAAATGGATTGCGCGCTGGGCTTTCAAGGCCCGATTGCCTGCGCCACTCGCCCTCGCGCGCGGCCCAGGCGGCGCGATTGTTTTCTCGCGCCTCGCGCCCAGCAGCCGCTCGCGCAAGCGCTTGTCAAGGGCGGGCGTTGCCGGGGGCTCGCCGCCCGCGCGCCGTAGCCTGGCGCCCGCGCTATCGACGCTCAACGTGGGCGACGGGAAAATCGAAAGCATCTCCGCGCGCGCCCCGCGCTGGGAACGCCTCGCGCCAGCGGGCCGACCGGCTGTCGAGCTGGATGAACATCGGGCCGCGCCGAGCGCTTTCGCAGAGTTCATTGCCATGCGCTGCGTCGCGCCATGGTTCCTGCTCTTTCAGACCCTGTCCCCGCGCGGATGCCCCCTCTCGCTGCCGCCCCGGCGTTGTTCGCATCGCCGTCGCGCCGCCTGCCGCCCGGGCCTTCGACGTCCCGCTCTTCCACTCCTGGGCGCCCATGGCACGCGCGGCCGCGATGTGGGTTCTCTTCCGGGCGCCTCTCCCTTCGCCCGCCAATCGTCCTCGCGGAGCGCGCGCCCGCGAGAAATCCCTGTCCCTCTACGCATGCTTCAGCTCATCGGCGCGCTCCTCGAAGATGGCCAGGTGCCGCGCGAGCCGCCGCGCTTGGAATTTGCCAGTGGGCCGACGGGGCCGCGCAACGGCAACCTCCACCAACCGCAAGACGCGCATGGCAACGCCGGTGAACCTACCAATTGGCCTCGCCGCATCCGACCCTCCATCGAGACGTTGGCGGCCCAGGTCCCGAGCGGCTTCGGCGCGTTCGGCAAGGGCCTGGGTGCGTTCCTGCCTGTAGTGGTCGTATTCCTGGCCGAACTAGTTAGCCATCGAAAAGCATGCGTGGACCGCTTCGCGCGCGGTCGCGCGCGGCGCTCCCAAGCATCTGGTGCCGTGCCTCAGGTGCTGGGTCGCCCTCAGTTGCTGCCCGTTCTGATGCAACCACTTGCAGCCTGGACTCGACAATCACGCAGTACTCGTGCCTCCTGTATCCTTTCGTCACGAACGCCATGAGGCTGTCGCGGTCGCTCTTGATACTACCGCATTCGATGGCTTCGTTCCCTGCGCGACTGGCAAGTTGAAACTCCATAGGACAGTTGTCGTGAACGTCTGAGGACAGGAGAGGTGGCATCACCCGTATCAAGCCTGTTATCATCCGCGGCTGGCGCACGAACTCTGATGATGACGTGCTGGCGAGGACATGGTCGATCCAGCTGCAAGGGAACTCACCGTAGCAGCTGGCTGGCACTCGAAAAAAGGGTGTTCGCAGCCGGGCCGTCAAACCGTTGTTTTTTGTCCACATTCTCAGAGTGGCCACGTGAGAAAAAGCCCGGTGTTTGCCAAGCCGCCCTGTTGCCTCGTCTTTCTCCTCGTACCCTTGCTGTTCGTTGAAATCCCTTGCCGCCAAAATCGCACATCGATTGCCAGCCGCCGACCAAACGTCACTGAGCCACTTGAATAGATTCTGCATGGCCCCGCGTCTCTCCGCGTAGCTGCCCGAAGGAGACATGCACACGCCGAAAATCGTCAACGGTGTCGTCGCCGTGGCCACCCTGAGGCCGCTCACTCGGCCAGTCTCTCCCGTCGAAGCTGGGGGAATGTACAATTGGCGCACTGATGACTTACGTATGCACCTTGCGCCCTAGAAAGATGCTCTGTCCCGCGATCTTGTTGGAGAGCCTCTCCCTCCTCCACCTGCAGCGGAAGACCACGTGCCTGGACGAGCGGATGGAAGTGACGGCGATGTCGGGGTCGGCGCGCTGCTGGGTGCCCTGCAGCACCGATATCAAAAGCTCCGCCCTCCACGCTGGCAGCGACTGCGGACTGTAGAGCCCAGCCGTCAGCACCACCGCGGCGAAGAACCTCATCTGCATCACGTCTCGCGGCCGAGCGAATCAAGACAGGCAGCAGCCGCCCCCACCCCGCGGCACGCGCCCCACCGCGCCCCGACGCGCAGTGAGGCCGTGAGACCCGCTGTGCTCGCGTAGCCCCCCCCCCCCCATAGCGGAAAGCATGGCGACTCTCCTCCTCCTCCTCCTCCTCCTCCTCCTCCTCCTCCTCCTCCTCCTCCTCAGCCTCATTCCTCTCCTCCTCGTCTCTCTCCCCCTCCTCCTCCTCAGGGCAGGCCTCCGATCTCGATCTCTGGATCCTTGACCATTTTCCCGAAGATCTCCAGGTCACCCCGCAGCTGGGCCACGAGGTCTTCGCAGCTCATGGCGAGCCAGTCCTCCGCTTCTGTTCCCCCACGGCTGCCGCAGCTGGGGTCTGGGGAGATCGGGGGGGGCACGAAGACGGAGACAAGAGGCACGGGAGGCAGATGCAGGGAGTAGCCGGAATAGACAGGGAAGGCAAAGGGGGCGATGGGGGCAGGGGAAGCGGAGGGAGCTGTGGGGGAAGCAGGAAGAGCGAGGCTCGAGACTCCGCGTTGGAGGATATCGGTGTTCGAACGATTTGCCGACTTTTTGGGCGGAATGGGGGTTCCGCCTGGCGCACCGCAAAAATTTCGGCACACTCCTGCACACATTTCGTGACCCCATAAGGAACCTAACCGACCAATAAGAAGGCCCGCATGGCGCCCCCGTGCCCATTCTGGCACACCCCTCAAATGTTCCGTGGCCCCATGAGGAGCTCCACGGAAGGCCCCAGTGGCAGGGTCCGCATGGCGTCAACGCGCGCGTTTCGGCACACCCCACATTGGGAGTGCCCGCATGGCGCCACCGCATGCAGCACACACACCTCACACGTTTCGTGGCAGCCGCCCGTGAAGCTCTGGGAAGCTGCCTGGGGGCCTCAGGAGGGCGTCTTTGGTCCTTGTTGGCCGTCATGGGCGACTCTTGGGCCTTCTTGGCGCCCTGTGGGGCCATCTTTGGGCCCTCTTGGGGGGCCTCTTGGCCGTCTTGGGTGGGTTTCGGGGGACTCCTGAGCCGTCGCAGAGCGTCCAACACAAGAAACGTCGAGAAGCCGAAAACGTCAAAAAACATCAGACAAATCATCAGATCGGAAGACCCAACCATAATGATTGTGAATAACGCGTTGTGGGTGCCGCTTCCGGTGTGCCACGTAACGCGTGATGGGGCGTGCCGTAATGGGTGGGGGGTTGCGGGTTATCCCACTGGGACCTTCGGTGGAGCTGTCTGTGGGGCCACGACGCGCTGTAGTGGGTTGTGGCGGACGCATGAGGGCGGTGCTACTGAAGCCTTCGGTGGAGCTCCCAAACGAGACGCTGTACTGGGTGGGGGGGGGCGCATGCGGGCGGTCCCACTGGGACCATGGCAGGAGCTCCCCATGGGGCCACGAAGCGATGTACTGGGCGGGGGGGACGCAGCGGTCCGACTGGGGCCTTCGGTGAAGCTCCCAATGGGGGCACGAAGCGCCGTACTGGGTGTGGCGGACGCAATCGGGCGGTCCCACTGGGGCCGTCGGCGGAGCCCCCCATGGGGCCACGAAGCGCTGTACTGGTTGTGGCGGGCGCACGCGGGCGGTCCCACTGGGACCGTCGGTGGAGCCCCCTATGGGCCCAGGAAGCGCTGTACTGGGTGTGGCGGACGCATGACCCTGTGACCTTTTGTGGAGCTCCTTGTGCGGCCACCAAAAGCTGTACTGGGTATGGCGGACGCACGCGGGCGGTCCCAGTGGGACCTTCGGTGGCGCCCCCCATGGGGTCACGAAGCGCTGTACTGGGTGTGGCGGACGCATGCGGGCACTCCAAATGAAATCTTCGGCGGAGCTCCATAGGGGACCATGAAACGCTGCACTGGGTGCGGCGGACGCATGCGGGCGGTCCCACTGGGACCTTCTCTGAAGCTCCCTTTGGGACCACGAACCGCTGTACTGGGTGTGGCGAACGCATGCGGGCGGTGCCACTGGGACCTTCACTGGAGCTCTCTATGGGACCACGAAGCGCTGTACTGGGTGTGGCGGACGCATGCGGGCGGTCCCACTGGGACATTCGATGGGCTTTCATATGGGGCCACCAAACGCTGTACTGGGTCTGGCGGACGCATCCGGGCGGTCCCACTGGGACCTTCGGTGGAGCTCCCTATGGGGCCACGAAGCGTGGGAGGGGTGTGCCGAAAGAGAAAGGAGGCCGACATGGGTGGCGATGACGACGATGATACTAATGATGACGATCATGATGATGATGGGAGGGGGCAGGAGGGGGAGGAGGAAGGAAGGAGGACAACGCGGGGCGCTGCCTCTTCAAAACGAAGACCCAATACAACAAGATGGTTTGGAAAAACGAGTCTTGCTTCGGGGAGCCCCCGCGGGAATCCTCTTGGAACTATTATTGGGGCCTCTGGGGAGCCTCTTGGGTCGTCTTGGGTCTACCTTGGGCGTTGTCGGGCGCCCTTGGGCCAATCAGCGCGTTGGTCTCTAGCCTGCTGTGCTGCCCAGAATCTCTCGCCGAGCCGTTCGGAACTGTTCGGAGGGCGGTGACACCCCATGGCGCGGGGAGATCCCAAGGCCAGAACCACGGGCCCGCGTGCCACATAATCCATACACAGATATGTGCATATCGTTACATATTCGTACACATGTATGTGTGCGCATATGTGACCATCTGAATGATGGCATACATCTACAGGTAAATGCATTTCCCCCTACCGACTTACCTAAGTACCTACATAAGCACATACATTCACATATGCACACATGCATGCATGCACACCAACCTACCGACTTGCCGACCTACCTACCTACATACATGCCTACCTATACAAACATACATACATACATATATGTGTATATATATAAACATATATATATATATATATATACATACACATATATATATATATACACATATACACATGTATACATAGCTACTTCCACTCCCCAGATGCCAGGACGATGTATTTACTATGGGGACGAGCGCGGGAGGGCGAGGCCACGGCAAACCGGAGGCTATACATGAGACAGCTGATCCCGGCGATAGCCGCACACCCTCGAAGACACTGATGAGAGCCACCTGAAATCCGTGCAAACGAGAGAGAGCAAGGGAGGAGCGGGAGGGGAGGCTAGAGCGAGATGGCAACGGATGACCATCAAGTGCGGCAACTTCGCCGTGGTACGCAGCATACGCTTGTTAAAAGGATCAGCTACTTCCACTCCCCAGATGCCAGGACGATGTATTTACTATGGGGACGAGCGCGGGAGGGCGAGGCCACGGCAAACCGGAGGCTATACATGAGACAGCTGATCCCGGCGATAGCCGCACACCCTCGAAGACACTGATGAGAGCCACCCGAATCCCGCAGAGCAGTCCTGGCCACACCAGTGGCCGAAAACGAACTACGCACGTGAAATAACCTAAACTACCGAAAAGAGACTACGTGATTTTGAAGGCAGCATCCATCATCCATTTCTCTCTGAGAGCGTTGGCAGAGTGCGTCATGGCAAGGGCGGCCGAGCGGGCGAACTGAGGCGAGTAAGCCGCGGCCAGCTCGGTGCGGCGGGCAGGCGCACCTTTGTCTCGGCCTTGGAGGATGAGGTGGGGCAGGCCAGTCGACGAGCAAATGCCTCCCTTGCCAGAGCACGATTTACATAAGCTGGGGAAGACGCCTGCATTCCAGCAGGCCACTGTAGTCGGCTTCTTAAAGGGTGTGCCAAATCGGCACATGTCCATCTTGTGAATGGCGCACGATGAGTCTGAAAGAAGCTTCACCATCTCGGGGGCGTGCCAGAGCAGCGACCCGCGAGGGTTCTCCAAAAAGACAGGGCAGCCAATCTGGATGCAGAGCCGGATGAGCCGGCAAGACAAGTGGAACGAGCGATTGCCTACGCGGAGGCGGTCCAGCCGAGGTCCTGACAGACCTGGTTTCCCCATGGGGAAGCGACTGGAGCGCAGAGGGTCTCTGAGAGCCTGCGACCAGGACGTACAGGGAGTGCCCAGCCACAAACCTACACTGGCTTTGCTCAGAAGCCACCCGCGCACAACCGACTCGAACGTGGTGCGGAGGTGATCCTCACAGGCCCCGTGGACGAGGTCCAGGTCCAGGCAGCCGTAGCCAAGGTCGCGGATGCGCTGGGAGATGCGACCCTGCCCTGCGAACAGCTCCAGAAACAGGCAGCTCCTCCACTTGCTGGCGCCAGCGCGGCCTCGGCGGCATCGCCGCTGCAGGTGAAGCCGCGCGGCCTGAGGCGACGCCGTCAGCGCCGGCGGCGCCGCGCGGCGGCGGGGGCCCCGGGCCCTCCCCGCAGGCGGGGGCCAACGCTGGCAGGCAGCTCGGCCCACGCCGGCGGCAGCAAGGGGCCGCCCCGCAGCACATCCAGGAAGTTGCGCTCCACGATCTCGCCGAACAGCAGCACGTCGGGGTCCACCTTGGCGGCCTCCCGGAGGAGGCGAGTCTCCTTGCCGTAGCGGCGGAGCGAGGCAACTGTGGCCCAGCGACCCCGCCGCATGACCTGCTCCGGCGTCCTGGCGCCAGACAGCAGGTCCTCGCTGGCGCCCCCGTGACGGAGGGAATACAGATGCGGCTGCAAGTGCATCAGGCCCAGGGCGTGGCACGCATCCTCGAAGAGCCGAGCAATCGACGTAGGCAGGAAGTCCCACAGGGGGCCGTCGCCCGCGACAGTCCTCAGCGCCTCCAGGGCTGGCTCGAGCCACGGCGCCTGGTCCAGCAGCACGCTCTCGTCCCAGAGGTTGGTCTTCCCGGGCAGCTGCAAGTCGGAGTCGTGCAGCAGCAGCCCCCACGGAGTGGGGGCCTGTCCCAGGTGGGCCACCGGCGGCACGAGGTGGCGCCCGGCCAGGCGGATGGCCTCCTGCGGGCGGAGATACGCCGCGAACGACAGCATCACGAAGAGCCCCATGCGCGGGTGGCCCCAGGCAGCCAGCGTCCCGGCGATGGCGAAGGCGGCCCGGCGAGGCAGCGGCAGGCGCATCCTGGTCGGGACGCGCCGGCGCCAGCCCGCCAGACAACGCGTCGCCCTTGGCAAGGCCTGCGCCGTCCTCTTGTACAGCGCCGGCGTGTAGTGCGCCAGCGACGCCAGCAGCGCGGAGCCCTCGTTCGGGGCGCGGCCCTCGAAGTACATCGAATTCAGGTACGTGACCAGGGCGACGTCCATCTCGGCCTCGCTCGTCCAGTCGATGGCCATGACCAGGCAGAACTGCAGGAAGGCCCGGAGGTACACCTGGTACAGGCGCTCCGTGCCCGGCCTGACCGCCGCGCGCTCCAGCACCGAGAGGCCGCCCGAGGGCCCCCGCTCGGACGCCACCTGGCGAGCCGCCGCAGCTCTGCGGTGGCGATCCGCCTGGCGGCGAGAGGCCGAGGCACCCGCCATCGAGCCCGGCTCCTGCAGGTGTCGGCCCGTCAGCCACGGAGGGCCCCGCACGAGAGCAGCCAGGCTGGGCGGCAGCAGCGCGTCGGCAAGGCCCTGTGAACCAGCCTAAACGCCCGCGAGAGAGAGCATCGGCAGAGTTGAACTCGCTACACGTCCAGCGTATGTGAATAGTACAATTTGAACACAGTGCCAAGCAACACAGTTTACGAAGAGAACGACGAAGATGAATGGAGGCGGCCCTTCCCTTACAACAACCCAGGGCCAACGGCATGTTGTCGACGAACAGAAGTATGTGCTTCCCGAAAGCGGCCCTGGACCTCATGATGTGCTTGATGCCCAAGACACACGCGCCCCCCTCCAGAGCTAGAATGTTGTCGGGCACGACGACCCTTGATGCGATAACAGGAGCCCAGCGAGCCCCGTCGAAGAACTCCTTGGGCACCTCAATGAACTCCCGCGGGTGCACCCGGATGAAGGATTCCAGCCCCAAGACGTCCAGCCCTTGCAGTCCGGCAGGCAGCGAAGCTGCGGCGGATGCGGAGGATGGTAGAGGCTGAGGGCGGAGGGCTCTCTCGCGGGCCTTCTCGGCACCGTGCACTCGGTAACGCCACCTCTCGCACTGGCGGCCGTGCTGCGCCGCAGCGTCAGGCCGCGCCGGCCGCACGGCGACGCCGACTCCGAACTCGGAGGCGTCGCTCACTCCGACCACGTCGTGCCACGGGCTGCTCAAGTCCTTCTGGAGGAGCGGGAGCAGCGAGCGGACGAGCCACAGCTCCTGGCGCACGGAGGGCCACAGCCGCGAGGTCGTCGGCAGGCCGGCCGCCATATACGGGTACACGGAGCTCAGCACGCACAGCAGCTCACGGCGGATCAAGCAGGCCCATGTGACGTGGCCCACCAGTACCTCAAGCATCTTGCTGGAGCAGCAGCCCCGGCGTAGCCCGGTATCCAGCGCCGCACGGAGCCGCCACAGGTTGCGGCGCTTGATGGACAGCCAGCGGCCCTGCCTGAGCTCCAGGCCCACCAGCGCGGCGTCGGGGGAGGCATCCGTCTCCTCGTGGACGGTCAAGCCCCACCCGCGCAAGACGGCGGACACGTCGTCCCGGCGCTGCGTGACCAGCGAGGCGTCGTGGCCGAAGACGTAGAAGTTGTCCACGTAGCCCGCCGCCGCCGTGTCTGAGCGGTCGGGCAGGGCCACGCTGGTACGACCGTCCTCCACAATCTGCGAGTCCGCGAAGCCCGCCAGAGAGATGGCGCGCATGGTCACGGCCTGGCAGAAGTGCATCGCCCACGACCACCCCATGGGCAGGATGGTAAGGCAGGGGGCCAAGCTGGACCCTGCCGGAATGCTCGCCCCCTCCAACTCCGCGATGCCCGCGAGGGACGAGGAGAGCGGGGGCAGCGCGAAGTAGTCCTCTAAGCCCGGCATGGGCCTGAGACGGTAGAAGGCATTGTCGAGGTCGCCGGCCGCCACGCACAGGGGCAAGCCGCCCGACTCCACTGAAGACACCGCGGCCGCCGTGGGCAGCCGCGTCGCGGGCGCCGGGTGGAAGTAGGCGTCGGCATACCTCGTGTCGAACACTATGCGAAGCTTGCCGGACTTCTTCCTCGCAACAAATACACCAATCATGTGCTTGGCAGTGGAGGCCACCTTGAAGCGCAACATTCCACATTGATGAAGCCGCCGAACAAAATCACCATACAAAACTGGATCTCGCGCCAACCGAGGGTCAACGAAAGGTCCGCGAGACAAGCTTGTCGGGCCCCGAGCAGCGCCTCGTCGGGCGTCTTGAGCAAGTTATGTCGCCAATCCCGTGCCCAATCAGCATCATCCTGAGTGAGGCAGCCCACAAGATCGACGGGGCTGGAACCCACCTCAGGCCAGGAGACCAGCTCCTTAGAGTACGGGACCCGTGCGCCACCATCCTCAGAGTAGACGGTGGAGCCACTGAGAAGCTCGCGGAGGGCTTCTTCACAAAAACCTGGCTCGCTCGGCATCGCGCCCATGCCTAGGTAGCAGTCCTCCAGAAAGTTCAGGCTCGTCTGCTGCCCCAGGTTCGCGGGCGCCGAAGGAGGTGAACCAGCGTGGCCATACAGGCAGTTCAGCGCGTCAATGCCCTGGTCGGCCCACTGCAGCAGCACGTCGGAGCGGCGGAGCCGCTGGCGCACGGCCCTGCAGGGGCGGCGGCCGGGCACGCGCTCAGTCCGTCGAGCCGCGTGAGGAAGCGGAAAAAGATCCCGATGGCGTAGATCATCGGTGGCGGCACGGGGGCCGCGAAAAAGGGCCTGGTGCTCGAGCTTTGGGGCGGCGGGGGGCCCCAAGTCCCGCCGCCCGCTCAACGTCACCCCTTGCCTTCCTCCTTGTCCTTGTCATTGCCGCCCTTCTTGTCCTCGTTGTTGGGCGCCCTGGCGCTCTGGCGCTCCTCGCGAGCCTTGCGCCTCTCCTTGGCCACGGCATACTCCTTCGAAAGCTCACCGCTGACATAGGCCAGCAGCTGTGGGTGGACGCACACGTTGCCCCGGTTGGCCGAGGTGCCGTAGAACAGGTGCGAGTCGAGGGACTCGTCGGCATTGGTAATGAACCGGTCCCGCCACCTCTCCTCCTGCACCTGGATGCTCCTGCAGACCATCTCCGCCGCAGCCACGTCCGGCACATTGAGCAGGTCGTAGCACGCCATCTGCTCTAGGTAGAAACAGCAGCGCTCGTGCTCGGCGACCCCCGCGTCAGTCAACGCCAGGCGCCCCTCCGAACGCCACTTGCTGTGGCGACCCAGCGGGGACATGCCGTTGTCCTTCATGAACAGGCGCACCCACAGCGTCGTCCGCGGCCCCGACATCGGCCAGTCCGGCCAGTCATGCTCCACGAGCCGCAGCACCGCCTCGGAGAAGCCGAGCTTCCTCTGGCCGAGGGCGTTGTACGCCACAGGCAGCACACGGGCGTCCGTCTGAGCGCCAGGCGGAGCAGCGTGGGCCGCGGCACCTGGAAGCGCCGGCGCGGGCGCCGGCGCGGGCGCCGGGGCCGGGGCCGCCGCGCCGCCGGGCAAGGGGGGCACGAGTGCTCCGGGCGCCCCCGCGGGGCCCCCAAGTGCAGCCACCAGCCCGGCGACGCCCGCAGCGGGGGCGGCGGCCGGGGCTGCAGCGGCAGGCAGCAGCGCACCCGCTGCCGCCACCGCCGGCGCTGCCAGCGGTCGCCCACCTGCGTTGGCCACGATGGGCCCAGGCGGGGCAGGAAGACCGAGACGGCCGGCGGCCGCGGCTGCGGCGGTGAGCAGCGTGGCCGGCGTCGGCAGGCTGCGGAACCTGTAGTAGCGGGCGCCAGGCGCCCAGGCCATCGTGCCTCCCGCCGCGCCGCCAGGGAAGACGTCCCACCGCAGCACGTCCGGCGAGCCCACGTACAGCTCCTCGTACTCGTCCGCGTCGGGCGTGATGATGCACGCCGCGCCAGGCAGCCCCGGCGGCACCAGCACCACCACACGCTCGTGGATCAGGGCCCCGCCCGCCACGTGGTACTGCACCCCGATGAAGTCGCCGGGCTGGACCCCCGCCGCGGCCACTGACGGATGCACCGGCGGCGCCGGCGCCGCCATCACTGCTGCAGCGCCTTGGCGCGCGCCACGCGCGCCTGAGCTCGGGCCTCCTCCTCGAAGTCAGGCTCCCTGCCACCGCCGACCTGCGGACGACGGGCCGCCACGAAGCAGCCGCCAGCGCGCCAGCAGGCCAGCGCGGCGGTGGAGGCCCCGACCAGCCCGCTGGCGGCGCAGGCCAGCGCCACGGCCCAGAGGCTGGGCCCGTGACTGCTCGAGCCCTGAAGGCCTGAGCAGTCGCACCGCAGCTCAGGGCAGTGGAACTGCGGCGCACACGAGCACGCAGGGCACTGCGCGTGCCCCTGGTTGGCCGCGTACAGCGCCACGCCGGTGCTCAGCCCGCGACCCAGCTCTGGCAGCAGCAGATCGGCCGCCGCGCGAGCGGCCGAAAGCATACGGGCGGAGTTCGCTCGAGGCTAGAGCGAGATGGCAACGGATGACCATCAAGTGCGGCAACTTCGCCGTGGTACGCAGCATACACTTGTTAAAAGGATCATATACACCTCACACTTACATACTTACATACTCGCCCCCATACATACATACACACAGGCAGGCAAACAGACAGCCAAACAGACACACATACGTACGTACGTATACACATGGATACATATATAGAGATATTAACAGAACGGTAGAGCGCGCTTCGCGTGCGTTCAGGTTCTCCCGGAACCCACCTCGCAATCAGCTGTCGGGGTTTCGGCGGCTGTTTGAGATATGATTTGAATCCAATCGCGCCACGGAAACACGTATTAAACAACCATTCCCTGAGCACGGAGGTCTCCAGGAGGAGTGCGAAGAGGACGATGGGGGGCGGTTTGGAGGTCGAGTCAGGGGAACATAGTCCAGAAGTATGATGGCGACGAAGACGAGGGCAGAACGGGAAGGACAGGCAGGATCAAAAGGAAACGTGGAGCCTTTGAAAACGAAGAATAGGCAAAGGACACTGAGAGATGGGCCACCGTGCCAATCGTCCACATGTTTCCCTCCTGGTGGACCTGCACATCCTGCAACCGTGCCCGGAGTGTTGGTGAAAAGCAGCTTGAATGTCTGTTCGCGTCTCTGGGGAAATCTCTGGGCAGCCTCTTGGAAACAAGTTTGAAGCCTCTTGCGGCGCTTGTCGGCGCCTCTTCGGAGCCTCTTTTGGCCCTCTAGGGTCCTCTCGGGGGGTCCTTGGAAGGCTGCTGGTGGTATTTGGGGATCATTTAAAACGGGTGCCTTGGAACTGTGAATTCGCAATCCCCCCCCACCCCCATGCCCTTCTTGGGGCCCTCTTTGGGCCGTCTTGGGGCCGCCGTGGGCGGTCCTGGGTGCAGCTTGGGCCACCTTGGGACCCTCTTGGGCAGTTTTGGATCCTCTTCGGCAATGTTGGGGCTCTCCTGGAGGCCTCTGCGGTCATCTGGGGCGCCGCGCGCATAGACACAGCGAAATGTGTGCATATTCGTGCCCTCTTGACGGTCCCCTTGGAGCCGTCTTGGGGCCTCTTGTGAACCTCTTGGGTCTTCTCGGGGGGGTCCTTAGGGGCCTGCTGGCGGTCTTCGGGATCGTGTTGGGGCGAAGGTGTCGGAATGTGGGTTCGAATTCCCCCCGTGGGGCCCCTCTTGGACCCCTCTCGGGGCCGCTTTGGGTGCTGCTTGGGCAATGTGTGGATATGTATCTACGTACATACATGCATGCATGCATGCATACATACACACATGCATGCATACATACACACACATACATGCATACACTCATGCGAACATACACATATATAGTCATATATATATATATATATATAAACCGATGTATGTATGTATATATATATATATATATATATATACATTGTATGGTTTGACATGGTTTGCAGTGACATGATATGATATTGATTGATATGTGATGCCAGGTTATGATCATATCAGATATGACATGATGTGATACGAAACGGGGTACTATGGTACGAAATGGTATGCAGCGATGGTTACGCTTGTGACGTTCCAGGTCCATTACAGGAGGGGTTATACAAAAGTGGTCGCTATATGGTCGCCCATGTGGTCGCCAACATGGTCGCCAAAATCAAAATGGTAACCCATGTGGTCGCCAAAATGGTCGCCGCAAAACAAACTACTGGTTCATATGGTCGCCGAGAAGGTCGCCACCAAATTGGTTACCATCCGAAATGGTCACCTATATGGCAGCCAAAAAAGTTACTGCGCGCAACGCGGTGGCTCGCAAGGCCACCGCGCATCGGCAGCGGCGCATCAAGCAATTGCCCGCACGTTCGCCCCGAGAGGCAATACCGCCGCGCACCGCTCAGTCGCGGTGTCACCGCACGGTTCGATACGTTGCCGTTGTTGGCGGCACAATCTTATTGTCAGCGGCGTTGGCTGGCGTTGCCGCGTCAGGCACGCGCTGCCGCTGGCTGCGTTGGGTCCAAGCGTCGCTCGGCCTGAGCCCCGCACGCCGAAGCGGCGCTTGCCGCGGTAGCGGCAAGGAGGATTGGAGCAAAGTAAAACGCCACGCCCACGGGCAGCGGATGACGTGGCGGCGGCCGTGCCAGTGGTGGCCGACACGGTGGCTCCAGCAACGGATGCACTGATGGTCGCGGATGGCCACTGCAAGGGCATCCGCGCGCGGCTGTGGTCGTGGCCGTAGCCGTTGGTGTAGCACTGGTAGAAGCTTCGGCGCGCCAGGGGCAGCAACCGCCAGTTATTGGCTTTCGCAAGTGGTGCACCTAGTATGGTGGTATTGCTGCGTGTTGTTGGTGTGGCTGTTACGTCGAGGGTTGCTCGCAATCGCGGTGGCGATGCGGAAGGCGACGTCGCGCTCGCAAGCGCATGGCCGCTACGCAGCTTGCAGGGCTTTTCCCTACGATAGCGCTTACCACTGCAACCAAAATAGGAGGAGCGAGGAGGAGGACGGAGACGCGCAGGAGGACCCTCCCATCCATCCCTCCTTCCACCTCGCCCTCCAAGCCCCCTCCAAGCTCTCAGCCCTCATCCTCCTCTCCCCTGCTACCCCGAGACTCTCCACCTGCCCCCCTGCTCTTCCCATCCCTCCTCCCTCCCCCTCCTCTGCGGCGATAGCGGGCGGCGACGGTGGCGCCCGCACTGACGCTCGTTTTTTTCCCCAAGGGCCAACGCTGCCTCAGGCTGAGGCTTCTTGTGTTGTGTCGCGTCGCCGTGCGCTGTAAGACCTGATTTGCGTTCGCGTGGTGTCATGCTGTTGCTATGTGGTGCTATGCCAAGTGTCTGCGCGCACGCACATGTGTTAATCAGGTCTTGGGGTGCACTGGGCCTGCCGCAGCCTCGAGCAGCACAGCTCGAACAAAAACATACGTGGGCTGAGCGCGCACACATCGCACGCGCGCCCACGCCACGTCACACGAGGCAGGCAGAACAAGAAAATCGCTTGGCGAGGAGGCGCAACCAGCGAGCGCAACGGCGCCCAACTGGCTTCGAGGACCAGCGCCTTTGCGCTTGCTTACCTCGGACTTCTCCTCGAAGACGCTCCACAAGAGCGGGGGCGCCAACGAGACCTGCCCCTTTCGAAAGGCCGTTCATGTGAAACTTCAAGTTCCGCTTGAGCTTCAGCGGTGTTCCCTCGAAGTCCCTGCGGCATGCCAGCAGCAAGCGCTCCGCATTCGTCACTGCGGCCCTGTCCATCTTCGCTTTGATGGAAACCATCGTGTC